CTGAGGATGCTACTGAAAAAAGAAAAGCTGATAGTCATGGCACTTGTGGATGTGTTCCTCGTGGTCAAGTATGTGTCGCACGTTTTGTTCGTGATGATGTGGTTCGTTGTTGTAACAATGACATCTGCCGTCGCGGTCCTAGTAGTATGGGGAACCTTGGTTATTGCGGTTGTATTCCTGGTGGTGAAAGTTGTTATAGTGGTGTGAATCATTGCTGTGAAGGCTTTACTTGTAATCGTGTTGTTGATGGACGAGGACGATATGAAGGTTATTTTTGTCAGGAAGAGTATGTTACATTAAAACAGTGTTTCGAACAGTTCTATTGAGTGAATGCATCATTTTTGTTTAGGAAAAACTGATCAATCAAAGAATCAAATAGCCACAATCAAAAAGAGAACTTTTGCATTCATAAGCATTAGACAATAATTTTTCGTCGATGAATACTTCTTTTACTTATTTATCTCAGACGTTCTCCTCGTTCAATTTCATGTTAGTTCTTCAATAAAATGACAAAAAATCGTACAATTACTGTTTCATTGATTTCTTAAGAGCAGCACAGTGACTGTCTATAGTCGTTATAAAAAAACTTGTCTTTTTTTCTCATTAAATCTAAATGACGCGGTCACGCAGAATGCATCACAAAAAAATCGACAACGATCAAGCATTTATAAATAGACTTGAAGAATTTTGAGTTCTACCGGTACTGTGCTTATCTTCAGACGATATCACAAAATAAAAATTTCAATACTTCTACCTTGGAAGTACATGATAGTTAATCACGTATAAATGCGAAGGAGTACCCGTTTTTTGCATGCTCAAATGAGAGTATATGTGCGATGGTCAGTCAATCAATCAGTGTACTGGCCGAAAATGGTAGATAGCGTCGTCGATCTTCACACGTTTTCTAGCACAACAAAGGGCCACAGGATCTATTCAAGTGTATATGAATAAAGGTAGAATGTAGTTCCTCACGTAACGTCATACGAAAAAAAGAAGTCCGATTTATTAAATTATAATTTTTCATTAGTGATATATAAATGATTGGATACGTTTAAAATGTGATCAAATATATTCAAAACGAAGTATAAAAACACTTTCGTATTATTGTGAAACACGTTTATCAATAAATCCACTAAGTTACACTTTGTCATATGACTTACCGATTCTTTGTCTGCAGTACCATGTACTAGCTGGCTAAGTCTTATGCGAAATCTGAATAGCAATGCGAATCATAGATAAATAAACAAAAACACTACATTTTTTGTATGAGTATAGCACCTCATTCCGTATAGCTGAAATTTCGAGGATCGATCGAGTAACTGAGCGTTTATTTGCAGTAAAAATGTTAGCCGAAAAGATAAGAATGGAGAGAAATAGCCTAAAAATATCATACGTTTCATTTATTTGGACCAGAGAAAAGACAAACATGAAAATAAATGTTTTACGCTTTTATATTGATTGTGTTGAGAAGATGCACGAATGATCATACCCTTTTCTTAATTCTGCAATGTATGGCCACTCGATAGATCTCATCTAATGTTACTGGGAAATAGAAGCGGAACTATTATTGGATCATTTTCAAGTTCAATCTCAAACGCAGACTAAGCAGCATGAAAAATAGAGGATCATTTTTATCATATAAATGTTCGGCTGGATTCCTGTAGTTCTCGAATAGGAATGCAGTTCGTACTTTTAATACATTTCTCTGTCTAGCTAGTAATTCGTTCGCATTATAACTGAGAAGTTCTTCTTCGAGTGTATCGAGACGCTCTTCGGACACATGAATGGAGAATGTTGTGTAATCCAGAATGTCTTCGAATGGGTAACGGGTATTTGAACTTATTAATACAGGTATACATCCGGCGTAGATCACATCGACGAATCTTGGAGACCATCCTACCGTACCCGGTACTATCAGACAGAATCGTGTTTCGTTTAGTGTCGTCAGATAATCCGAGTTGTTGTAATAGCTTTGAATTAGAGTAATGCCGTGTGTTGTTTGATTCCAAGTATGCTTCCATAAATTAGGACACGATAGACGAGCTCGCGTTGTCAAACCATTTCCCCATATGGTTCCTTTGAAAAAAGCGAACACTCGTCGGTGCAAGATAGGTTTGATATGATGGAGGTCGCGAAATGCATTTAAAAGATCGCGAGTTAGACACGTGAAAGGCGGAATGACAATGTCTTTATGTGGATAGTAGCAATGTGTGTTGTAATCGCCGTTGGGTTGAAGTAAATAAGAGTCGAATAAAGCGGAAGGTTGATAGTTGTACGAGGAGAGGAGAAGTTCCAAGTGGTCCCAGGCAAATCCGATGCATCCACCAGAATCATGCGAGAGAACAAATACAGTTTTTGCTGTGGAGTTAACCGCAGCCAAAGTGTCATTTACCAATGCTTTTAACTGTTGAATTAAGTATATTTGTCTCCAGTAATACATAGACTTGTAATGCACATAGAATCCATGGAAGAAAGGAACCACGACAAGTTCGGCACTGGAGATAGACGTTGAGATGTTTATCAGTCCTCGCAGAATGATGTCATCAACGTTGAAACAATGTTTTTTGTGCAAGTGATCACGATTGGAGTCATTGTAGTATGGAACAAGCGTTGATGGCACATCAAGTACGTGAATTCGTGGCAGATTCAAATAGTGGTAAAAGGGCTTCGAACGATGCTGGAGTACCGTTTCGAAAGGTAACTGAGCAAAGTTTATTTGATCGATTGATTTGAATTTGTATTGAGAAACCAACTCACGCGTATTGCGATGCTTTCTAGAGCATCGATCAGCAACGCAACGACAGTTGTCGAAAAGAATACATCCTGTGAATAGTGAACAATTTCTGTCGCATAGCGGTCTATCTGCATCAACGGGTAAACTGTCTTTCACCAACGGTGAGTATAGTACTTGCTTCCACGAAGTGCGGTTTCCACTCGCCGTTATTTCTTGATCGATAAACATTTTTAAGCGATGACACTTAGTGCTGGAATTTTTTATCCCATCGTGCCAAGATAATTCCCTCTGTTTCTGAAGAAGATGGTCCGCTTGTAATAGAGGTAAATCAGTTCTCCCTTCACAGCAGTACGGCGAGAGACAATATAGATGTTGAAAGCCGTCCCATTGCTTCAAAGAACCGTTCAGTTGCACCGAGAACAGTTCATCAGTCTTCTCCTCTATATAAGTGAGTAGTGCGACCGACCGATTCTCTGGCATATAAGAAAAGAAGAAGAGGCTTTTGTCAGCTGATTTTGTCACAGTCTGGTTTACAACGCAAAGAAATGAAGAGCCGACTGAGTGACATTGAATGTAATACCCTGACATGCCACGAACATTCTTGACATTAGTAGAAACGAATCGAAAGTCAGGGAAAAATTTACTGGTTGTATGCCATGGAGTTTCATTACGGCAAGTGATCATGGAATGTTTATTACTATTGGTATAGATCAACATGGTACAGTTGTTAAAATCTGACGCCTCTACAAGATTTTTCAAGCATTCATTGCGGAGAAGATCTTGCGCAAAGCGCAAATCTCTTCTTTTAATATCACCGATATACTGCCAAAGACCTTTTGCAATTCTTTTATATTGGAAAAGATGTGCAAAGTTCGGAGAAATCGCTCCATCAGTGCATAGACGCTTTGATTCTAGGCTTTGCGTTCCTTTCATTGTTCGAACTAAAGCATGTGAACTGGTCATCTTGAGAACAATCGATAGTAACGATTTCTGATCAACAGAGGATGCGCAAAGACAATATGTTGATATCGAAGATGTCTGATAATATTGGCTAGTTGCAGTGGTCATTCTAATCAATTCGAGCAAAACACGCATGGCATCTGTAACGTGAATAAAGTATCGAACAAAAGTTGGCTCCGTTAATGAGATGGGACTATCCGTCATGGCTTGTCGAGTAAAATATGGAATGATTCGAGCGGAGGAATCGTCGAAGAGACCGTAGACTTCAGCTGATCGTAGAATAATGATTGAAGAAAACAAATGGGAAAATGTTCGTATCACACGTTCGACAATCACTTTTGACTCGGCCAGATACGAATTAAGTTGACGCGCACAGATGCTGAATGACGAAAAGTAAATCAGCCAAGGTCTATCTTTCTTGTTGTCACCGAAAGTCAACTGAAAAGCTTCTAGAAAACGTTGTGTGCTTTCCACATTGTTGCGAAAGCAAGCTTCTTTAAACTCTTGACACTCAGCTTCACGATCAGTACCCGCTAAATGAATTATACCGAGTATTCGCTTATATTGTGCTCGAATCGCATGAATAATCGAGTGGTTTTGAATATTACCAATGAAGATTTTCACTTGTTCATGATCTACCGCATTATATGTCAATTCGTCAAAGAATTGCTCGGTGTCACTACTAGCATCCAGAACAATAACAAAATAGCCAGCACGAATCAAATTGGAACACACTGATTTACCCAATCGGCCTAAGCCACCAGTGACAAGTATGTTTCTCGTAGCATCGAATTCACTTTGTGAGGTTCTGCTCGTATTTTGAACGAAGATTATTCGGCGTGCGAACATTAATGATACACCGACGAGAAATACAATCCATAATAGTCTTTTCTGTTTTCTCCTATAAAGCATGTTCATTTAGTTATTTATCGAACGGTACTGTCCACTGATAACGACGTCTAAAATAGATTGTATGTTAATGAAGCTGATCTAGATATCTCACCAATTTCGATGCCATATTTTTTGACGCTAGATACACATGAAAAAGAGTAGGTTGTATACAATCATTCGATCAGATCACATTCGTCTGTGTTTTACTTCTCAATATTGTGATGTACATTTTCTTAAGTGAACAAAGCAATAATACAATGACACGCATGCTTTCTCGCTTTCAATATCTTCGAAGTGGTTTCACTTTGGTTGTCTTTGTCTCTCCACTTGTACATGCTTGATTTGTGTTTTGTTTTTATTTGCGCAAGTGTAATAGAGGAGAGAGGACGCATGATGCATATCATATAGAAAACAAAGTCGACGACATAAAGTCTAACTGGTGAATTCAAATTACATTTTTCGAAAAATGACTTTATTTTTATCCATTTTCCTTAAACAGGTTTAGTAACAAAGTGTTTTTATTACAGTTAGATTGAAATCTTCTCTATTGATCGGTGACAGCAACATTTTCATGTCATTCAATAAGAAGCTATAGTAAGTTAAAGAGTCCGATGACGTCAAAACTAATCCGAACTATTCAATTTGAAATGATTCAGACCAACATGACGGGAGCGTGGGCGAGAAAGGCATGCACAGTAATATAGTAAGTGAAGACAGTACTGAAGATACGGTACGTCATTGGGCACATATCGAGCGCTGCTTTACATTACACAGTATGAAAGAAACACGAATCTACCTCAAGGAATTAGTTCAGCAATATTATTCGTGCGGTATACTTTCGTAGTTAGTTATTGGAAACCATAAGACGTTACAATGGTTAAAACCTCTGCACTACTCTGACTGAATATGATTTCGTCAATCCATTCGAAACAGCGACAATTTTAGAACTTTTATTGAGCAAAATGTTTCGCCTACGGGCGGCAGTCAGTGAACAATTGGATACATTCCTAGCATAACAGTCAATACATATTACATTTGTGCATTGTCATTGACAGGTACTACTATGTTTCGCCGTTGAAATAGCCATTGACGAATTTTCCAATATAAACATAAACCATACCACACAAGAAACTTTAATCCTTCAGTTAATCCACCGTATAAACCAAGAAAAGTAGTTAACATATAAAGAGCACTGTTCTTTTCCATATAAGAATATCGACATGTTGATGGTGCACACGTCGAATAATAATTTGTATAATTAGTTGTGTTGTGCCAGGATTCAATGAATAATTCATCGATGATTGTACCTATTTTTGTTGATGAAATGGGCGTAAAACGAGTTGGGATCGATCTGTTCAAAGGTGATGGAATATATGAACTATTGACGAAAACAGCCAACTTTGATAAACATGTTTGTTGATAAAAACATTCCAGGGTTGATAAACGAAGACCATAAACAGGTAAACAGCCTCGAACAAGACCTACACAACAAGATTAATTATCGAGCAAATCATAACAACAAACAACACAAACCAGCAAATGTTCCTTGTTTGAATACATTGATTAGAACATATTGTGTACATGCTGGTTGAGTATCACATGAACATAATTTCCCATTCTCATCGTATCCTATTACTGGGTTTCCTCCTACCCGATATTGATTCTGTTGAGTCGGTGTTCCTAAATTCCAATTTGTCAGAAATACATTTTGCAATTGATTTCCATAAAGTATATCATTAATGTATTGATAGGTTCGTCGAAAGCTTGATGGTGATTCAATAATGAAAGTATTGATAATCGAATCAACTTGATTTTGAAATGATTCTTGTGACAATGTTTGCACAGTGATTAATTCTTGAGAAGACAATAGATGTATTTTTTGTTCTGTTATATATTTTGCAAGAGAACATAATGCTGATAAAAGACGAAATTCTGTACTTAAGATTTTACCATCGATACTGGCAGAGTAATAGACAGCATCTTTCTGACCCCAAAGTACAGTGGCGCAGCCAAGGGGGGGGGGGGGCAAATGGGCAATTGCCCATTTCGTTTTGAGGTTTGCCCATTGAAATTTTTGATTGATAAGGCTTTGTCCATTGAACTTTTGCTCTGTCAGGATTTTTATATATGCTTTTGGGTTTTCCAGTAAACCTCCTTCCTATCAGAAGTCCCTCTTTTTTCGAACAGGTTTTCAGAAATTTCACCAGTTTTTTTATCGAAAAATCGTCGAAAGCCAAGGTTTTTTTTTATAGAGAATTGATTTATTTTCACACTATTCGGTGTAAAAAAAACACAAAACCGTATGAAAAGTCGCAAAATTTCTTGAGGGCGTGGTTGGGTGTGGGTGAGGGTGTAAGTACTTATTACGACCATAGAAGTAATATAGAGCTTATCTCGTAATGCAAAAACTAGGAATAGTATTTCATAAATCAATCAAAAATCATAATATCCTTTTCTCCTGCTGCTCCATCGAACTATTAAAAAAACGCAAATGTATTCTAACTATCTTGGATTTACAATTCATTTTAAATTCTAGGTTTGTTCTTGTTCTTTTTTATTTATTTCCTTTTCTTCTTCTTCCTTCCTCGTTTTGGGGTGGGTGTACACGCGGATATATCTCGGCTAAGGGTGAGGGTGGGTGTGGGCACGAATATATCTCGATTGAGGGTGCCGGGGTGGGTGTACACGCGGCTATATCATGATTGAGGGAGCTGCGGTGGGTGTTGGTGATGGTATATATGCATAAGTAAAACTAAATCTATTTCTATTCCTAAACTCACAGGGGTGTGGGGGTATATATGTGTAAGTAAAACTAAAACTATTTCTATTCCTAAGGGTGCTAGGAATTGGTCACTTATATTACAAGTCGAATTAGGCAGCTACTCATAGAATCGGTCAGTATGTCCGTCCGGCCGTTAATCCGATAACTCCTGAAAGAATAATCCAATTTTCATGAAATTTGATACATAGCATTATCTTGTAAATGCCTCGGTCGAGTTCGAAGATGAACCTGATCGGCTGTACTCTTGCTGACTTATGGTAGAGTTTTCTCTAATTCCTATATGAAAAACTTGAAGATTTGCGTGTTTATCCGCTTGTTCGCTTTGCATTCACTTTTTGTATCAGCTATGATCACGAAACCTTCTGTACTGTTTCTTTGGATCCAGAAAAATGCTGATTGGCCAGTGAAGGGGTAGGCCTGGGTGACCTGGGTGAGATCTGGGTGAAATTTCACCTAAGCGATTTTGCATCAGAAAAAGTCATGAAATCTTTGGTAGAGCTTCTGTGAATGTAGGGAAACATCGAAAGAGAGTTAGTGGACCAGTAATGAGGGTGGGTAAGGATGGCGTGGGTGGAATCTCACCCAAGTGGTTCGATAACTGAAAAGGCCGCGAAACTTTGCATGCTGCTTCCATATGTCTAGAAAGCATGAAACGACTGTTCGCATACTAGTGAGGATGACACGTGTTGACGACATGGGTGGAGTCTGGGTGAAATTTCACCCACGCGATTTCGTGTCAAGACTGTACGCCAAACCCTCCGTACTACTTTTGTGGGCATATGGAAGGGTAGATGGATTGTTAGGGAGCCCGCAACGAGATGGATAAGGTTGGCGTCGGTGAGTTATCATCCAAGTGATTCTATGGCAGATAAGGTTGTCAAACTTTGCATGCTGGTTTTTGTGTACTCAAAAAGTGAGTATACTGTAGAATGGGTCAGTAGGTGCGTCTAACCGATAATCCGATAACTCCTGAAAGAATGATCCAATTGTCATGAAGTTTAGTACATAGCAGTATATTGTCAATGTCGCAGACGAGTTCGAAGATCAGCCCGATCGACTGTAATACTACTAACTTACAAAAACAATCTCAGATTTTTGTGTGCCATCTGATACACTTTTTGAAGTACACATAACTTTCGGATAAAGTCCGAAGTTTTCGCATTTATTAAATTGTTAACCCTGGTTACTTTGGGAACAATAAACTGTATGAAAAAAAAATTTCACTCATACTCAGATCGACAATTAATGCTTGCGATTACACCTCACAGTGCGCTCACCGTTGCGGCGTAGTTACGTCGCAATCTCATCATAAGCACAAACATGAGAAACAACAAAAACTACGGTGTCTCTGTGCGTAAAAGCGTGCGCTTTTTACGGATTGACGAGAATTTTGCTCTGAAAGAGAAATAATCGAGACACTCTGAGTGGTTGGTAACTCGCTTTTCTCACAAATAAATTCTTTTTGTTCAAGCGTCAGAAGCGCACATTTTCATGCATAGAAACATTGTAGCTTTCATTGCGTGTCTGTCCGGGTACTTTCCTATAATCAACCATTCTCAACATAGTTCTTTCATCCTTACTCAAACTTGTCGACCATTACCTATGGTCAGCTATGACTGACTCATACTAATCCATCTGCGCACTTCTCCTTCTCACATTCACATGCATACTTGTTTCTTATAATAAACATGTTCTCGATAGTACTTCTTTGCAGTTCATTAATATTTCACGGTACTCCAAAGGTTATACGAGAATACTACAGAATCATTTTTCGGGCGCTGTGCATTGCTTTTCCGCTTCTTTGCGTCGACACAAAGAGATAAAGTTGTGTCTCGAGAACTGGTATTCAAGGATATTTTTCTGCATTCTCTCACATTCTTCCGCATTCGGAATGTCCCGCAATAAGATTTTCCCTCTTGGTTTTAAACTGATTCCAATCCATAGTTTGCACCAACTCGTTCCATAAGCAGTAGTACAATGGATTGCGATCAAGACTGCTTCCCGCCCGCCGATCTTTTAGTGTGAATATCATGATTGACAGAATCTTTATCCAATGTTACCAATGGTGTTAATCCTACTGACCATATACCTAACCAAACTATAACGTTTGGTAGAGAATTTCCTTTTTGATTAAGCACCTCTAGGAGCATCAGCATAAGTATGATTGTCAGTCCATATTATTCGGTCATTTTGTGAATTATAAATCTCGTCACTATCGAACATCTTTTCATCCGAAAATAACCATTTGCCAATGTCTGCTTTATTGAAATTGCTTTTAATCTAATGAGCAAACTTTTTTTGGTCCTCTTTCTGGTGATCGGTTAGTGCTAGTTTTTCAATAATCTTGTATGAGTGATAATGAGTATCATCAACAATTATTCGATGGACACCTTTTTTTGCTAATTTTCTTTTTTTCAGCTAAAACGCTTTACGATACGTTTTTCTTTTGATTCAGTCGACGTTTGACCTTCTGTATGGCCGCTTTTGTCCGTACAGTGCGTATGCCTCCAAAATGTTTAGCTAGGTTGATAATACCACTTTCACGGATCAATTTGCACCAGCGTTGCACAGTACGCCAAGCTAAACAACTATTTAGAACACCGAATATTTTCCGAGGATGACACTAGAATTATACTTAAAAAGTGCGAAATTTTGCAAATTTTTCTTTTCATTATCGAAAGCAACGATCATATGTGACATTTCAAAAGCTCATATACAATCTTGTATAGCTTTTCACGCCGCATTTTTTCATATAGGAACAAGTAAAAAAACTGAAACTAAATATAGAAAACTAAAAAAAGCTAGGTTTTATTCCTAAACCACCGGTTAGCAGCTTTTTTTAATAGAACAATAAGAGAAAAATTTTAAAATTCACTGGTTTAAATACAGTTCTCTACCTTTTTAGTCATTAAAATCCGAAATGTGCATAGATTTATGAAATGGGTTCAGGTTTATCTACAGAAAGTCCATCACAAAGCGATGATCGGAACAGCGCGTTTTATTCCGCTTGTAAAAATGGTGATATCATAGCTGTTAAAGAAATGTTACCAAATCTAACTTATGATCAAGTTAATCAAATTGAACCGAATGGAAGTACAGCGTTACATGCAGCAAGTGCTAATAATCATCCTCATATTGTTCGCCTTTTATTATCGAGTTGTTGCTCAAGAATAACCGTAAATAACTGTGGTGTCACTGCTTATGAAGAAGCAGCTACTGACGAGATCAAAACATTATTTCATCGTACAACCCCAGATAGATTTGTCGAAGAAAATATGACAAATTCGTTTACACTTCTCACTTCTAGTGATGTGGACAATGGAACTGAAAACAATATACCAGATAATTGGGTTAGAGGGCATACCTCTGCAGATTCAGCGCATGAAGCAAAATTTATAATTGCTATGGCAAATACAAGAAATCCTCTGTATAACTCAATAAAAGCTGACGCAGAAAAGAAGAGTACTAAAAGCATTCATCAGTTAGCATCTCAAGCAGTTTCTTCTCAACCTAAAGACAGTTCTGCAGTAAATAAATTATTGAAAAATTTTACAAGTAGAAAGGGTATCAGACATTTATTAACGATGTATACTTTGGAAACACCCATCTATAGAAAATTACAAAATGAACCTGATTCACTTTCGATTTTGGTTTATTTTCACTTAAGTGAGTTACGAGGTCGTGCTTTTCAAGGTCAGTTATATAGAGGTGCAAAAATGACGCAGGATGATATTAAAGCATACCAGTGGGCAATTAAAAACAAAGATTATGTTCTCGAAACTCGCACATTTCAGTCAACATCAATTGAAGAATCCGTTGCACAAAGTTTTGCGCAAATAAAATGCGACGACATAGATCAACAGCATCCTAAATTGTCGGTTATATTAACGTTAGTTTTTCCAGAAAAATGTCCAACAGCAATTAATTTAACAAAAATTTCTGATACTTTACCTCTTTTATCTGAATTTGAAGATGAAAAAGAAGTACTAATATTACCATTTACTTTATTTTCAGTGAAAGAAATGAAGATTGATTCTCAAACTAAACAATACCGTATTACATTAATAAATGTACCAACACCTAAAACATCATTATCTTACGCTGCGAAATGTATCAAAACATAACTTTCCGGTTTCTGTATCGTATAAAAACATAAAATACTATCAAAACTAAATCATGAGTATTATTACATGGTATTGATATGATAGATTAATCGATCCTTTGTATTATAGCAATCATATTTCTCATTTACCGATGTATAGATATTCACAGAAGCTTAACAAAAGTTTATTGCTTTCTTGCTTAACTCTCAAGTTTAAAATAAAATCAAACACATATTGTTTCTTTATTTTTGTTCAGGTGTAAAATATTCTGACTAAAATTTCATTTTCATTAAAAGATTTTTCTTAACTAATATTATTTAACGTTGAATATCATACCCAACGACACAAATTTCTGCAGTGAGCTTCATTTTAATAATTCGTCACATATCAAATGTATGTGTTGTATTTATTTCATGATGATTTTATTTCATATCCTTATTAATTATAGAGTTTGCAGCCACATTCATGGATTCTACGGAACGTGATACTGGTAAAACAGTGCAAACAATGGCAGCGCGCATCATTGAAATACAGAAGTCCGTAAAACACATCATTATTGCTTCTATAATTTTAATAATCGTATCATCTGTGCCATGGACTTCTCTCATTATTGGAATTTTGAATATCAATCAATGTTCAGCTCAGCGTATGATACCAATTTGGTTAATTGTTGTAGGAGTAACGACAATTGTCCTTTTCTATTATTGGATGCTATATGTAAGAATTTACGAAAACAATATAATAGTCTTATATTTCATTATATGATCGTTTTTATTCACAGCTTATATGTGGTATTTGGTGTTGCCCTAGAATAGATGACGTTAAACAAATTTATATACATTTAGCTGCTGTGTTTTGCATCACATTCATACTTTTCCTATTCCTCTGCGCATGGATGATCGCTGTAAGTGAATGAAATTAAGAGTTAATTTTCTTTTTATATTCTCAATTAATTTCAGGGTTGTGTTTGGATATTTACTATTAAGTCTTCTGTGAATTTTTCTGACCCAACTTCAAATAATTATTGTCACTCTTTAACTTATAATTTTTCATTTGGTCTTGTCATTACACAACTTAGCCTTGCTGGATTAGTTTGCTGTCTTAACTGCTGTGTTCTAATGATTTATATGTGTTCTAGTGCTTCAGATTGATATTAATGGAAACACCAAACTCATTCAGTATATTGAACTTGTGGGAAGTGAAATATAGTTACATTAAAGGTTTTTATCAAAAAATTTTCCTTTGTTGGATCGTATCATATTTGGTTCTTTTACCAAAAACATATCATTTTAAGTATGACTTAATCATTAAATTTTGGGTGTGGATGTGAGTTTGAAAAGGTAAATGAAGGGTCTTAAAATTCAGTAAACGTCCTTCACCTATCCACGATATAGAACAAGTAACGCCCATCCTTTGGATTCGCTGACCCTTTTCTGAAAGACTTTTCCGAATGCTGAACACATTCAGAGACTTCGAAAGAGAAAAAACACACTGCGATTGCTACTAGTGCTCAACTGAATCATGGCACTATGTCACACACTAGAATGAATAGGATGCAAAAGTCTTTTTAGGAATCACACAGATTAGCCATTTGTCAGTGAATAGTTGTCCAGCACTAACTATGTTGACTGAAAAATTCATCGCTCCACGGCTAACCAGACAGCCACTCACGGCCAACCATTGACCGTTGCCATCTGTTTTTCTATTTTCACATCACGCGCATGGAAATTTTCATAAATGCTTTACTAAATCACTCATAGACGGCCGATATACAGTAGACTGCTTGAAAAGTGTGAACATTCGCCTTTGTCTTCCAGCGATAAACCGATTCTTTTCTCTCCTGTCAACGAAATGATACCTTGTCGAATATTTTCATTGAGGAATGTCCATTCGTCAAATCCTTTTCAAAATTATCAGAAGCTTGGCAAGGTTATTCTAAGCGTACACTTTAGGATTAATCTAGCATTTAAATGCCTAGTCGTTCGTCGACCTCCCTTCGGTCAACCACTCACGGCTAGCCGTTGCCATGCTGTCTCTGTTATTCCTTTCGCCTTTGATTTGCTTCGAAACGAACATCTTTCATAGTGCTGCATGTGTTCAGAATACTGTTTCTACAGTCCACGCGTCTGTAGTTACTAAGATGGAATTCCACCGACGGGTATATCACTTTGCGAACTGCTTCTACTTAATTCCCATGAAAGGACCTGATGTATGTACCCTACAAAGCAAACATGATACCAAGCTCATATCACTTTTTCGGATTTTTTCAGTTACAAACATCATTATGTACAATGTATTAGATCTTCTCGTGTAAGTTCTTGAGCTACTATCTTTGTACACATGACGTCCGTGGATAGCGTTCAGCTCACCATCTTCTACAAAAGATTTCAGAACAGATAAAGAAAAAAAATATCTCCTTTGTAAAGAGGAAGGAACAAGCCCGGGCTCAGCGAATAAGACGAAATTCACCCTCAAATTCGAATTTCCCGACGTCAGAAACCTTTTGGTCTACTTCGCCAATGGATGTTCATAAGTCGTGGCTAGCTAAGGAAAACTAATAATTAATTAAGCAACACTAACGTCGGATTCGTGATCCTCGACCTCAATTACCCTTCGGTCGACCTTACTCAACAACGAAGAAACTTTTCGTCGCTTAATTAGCTAATGAGCTCAGTAGGATTTCGAGAAACTAACCTCCGATTCAAGTTCCCCGACCTCGATTACCCTACCGGTAATCATTTTCTAACAACTATCGACCAATTTCATTGATTTTAGAAATGCTGATTTCTGATTGGATAGGACAGACAGACAAACTTTAAGCTTTTTAGCACAGCATTTAAACGCTGTACAACCCTTTCTTTCAGAAAGCGGAAAAATAAACTTCATATATCTACCCATTCAAACATGCTCGTGAACAACAGATACCGTGATGCAATTAGTGACTATGATATACATCGCGTGATAAATCAACATCACGTAAAGCAACAATCATCGCAATAAATATCCCCCGATTAAAAAGAATATTTACTTCCAACAATATCATCAACGCAATGTTGATCCGAAACTCGGCGTAGTTTTTGAATGCTACCTATGATCACATCTTTTACATTTATCCCTCATATCGAGAACCTTGTTTCGCCCGAAGGAAAGCCAAACAATGTTAATAAAACTGAGCAAAACATCATGCACGAATTTCCCTCATAATCCCTATGTTCAAGTGTGATACTCACTTCGAAGGGAACACTGCCAGATGATCACATCATCCACCATCACATCACAAATCAATCATTCTCATAATCACTCTGTTCAAGTGTGATGCTCACTTGCAAGCGAACGCTGCCAGATGATCACATCATCCACCATCACATCACAAATCAATCATTCTGAGAATCACTCTGTTCAAGTGTGATGCTCACTTGCAAGTGAACACTGCCAGATGATCACATCATCCACCATCACATCACAAATCAATCATTCTCACCATCACTCTGTTCAAGTGTGATGCTCACTTGCAAGTGAACACTGCCAGATGATCACATCATCCACCATCACATCACAAATCAATCATTCTGAGAATCACTCTGTTCAAGTGTGATGCTCACTTGCAAGCGAACGCTGCCAGATGATCACATCATCCACCATCACATCACAAATCAATCATTCTGAGAATCACTCTGTTCAAGTGTGATGCTCACTTGCAAGTGAACACTGCCAGATGATCACATCATCCACCATCACATCACAAATCAATCATTCTCACCATCACTCTGTTCAAGTGTGATGCTCACTTGCAAGTGAACACTGCCAGTTGATCACATCATCCACCATCACATCACA